CTACTGGATCTGCCTGCCCTCTCAGGAGGGTTCCCTCTTGGACTTCCTTTCCTCTCCCATTATGAGCTGTTCAGCCACTGACACCCTAATGGACTGGTGTGCCAGGAAGTCAGGACCCTTTGGGTAACTGAAGTCCTTACTACTCTGATCTCATCCCCCCACCCCCTCACTATGCCTCTGTTTTTCCCTCTAAGTCAGTGAAGATCTTCCTTTTATCCATTGTGAAGTCCAGAAACTTCACAATGATGTATCTAGGTGCTTGGTTTTGTTTACTCACCCTGCCTAATATACTGCATCCTTTTCAATATGAGCCTAGTGTCTTTCTTCTGTTCTGGGAAATGTTACCCTATCTGTGAAATATCTTACCTTTTTTGCTCCTTTTGGGTAAGTAGGACATGGTGGCCCCCTTATTTGGATGTACCTTTGCATATGTAGAAACAGATATGGAATGGCACTGGTAGGGCCCCTGCCCTGCATACCACTCTCTCCTCTCCGCTGAGAATGTCCCTCTTCTTTCCCCTTGTTCTCAGTGGACAGCGGTAGTTTTCAATCCTGCTATGCATTAGGATCATTCTGGGATGGGGCTTACGTGTGCATTTTTCAAAAAATGGGTCAAATCTCAGCTCTATCATGTATTAACTATGTGATCCAATTCACTTAACCTTTCTGACCCTGGGTTTCCTTATTGGTGAAATAGAGATACTAATAATGCTTACTTCATATGGCTGGCATGAGGATCAAATGAATAATATTCATCAAGCACCTTGTTACAATGCGTGGATGCTCAATAAATTATAATATGGAAGCCAAGGTAACAGCTGAAGTGTACCACGTACCCAGCAATATATCAGTTGATTTATGTGAATTATTTTATCTTCAGAGCCCTTTAAAGTAAGTCTGTTTATTATTTGTGTAATGTTCTAAGAACTGTTTTCTTTACCTGTGTTGTACTCCTATCTTTATCCTTGGGTATACACATTTTATCTACTTATTAGCATATGTATATTTCTTATCTTGTTTTTAAATGTTATTTACTATTGTTTTTCTATGTTGTTTATTATACATAATTTTAATAAATACATAATATTCCATTTAGTTGCTATTCTATAATTTATTTAACCATTTGATTATGGCTGGACATCTTCAGGGATAGAACCTATTTTACTTTGAAGCTCTTCATGTATATGGGGTCAATTTGCCCTCCAAAGGCTGTGCTATTTTATTGTAACATGGGGTAATTTTTGACCTGGCTATGTTATTCTCTAAATTCTCTAATTCTATTTAATGGAATGGGGGTTGCATGAAATGTTCCTTAAGAAATTAGAAAAATGGCAGTAAATGGCAGTGATTCAGTCAGTCAAGCAACCAATCAATTAAAAAAGCATTTAGATAATGGACTAGGAATTGTATATAAGAGAACTCCAAAGTTATAGTGTGACTAAGAAACAGTAACAGTGACAGCAGAAAAAAAAAAGCCTCTCTAGTCTATAAGAGGACCTAGAATACGGATTTTAAAGCAGTCAATTCAGATCTCTCTACACTGCAATAGCTGCATTACCCACAAGCCTCTAGTGAGCAGGGTGGGATGTGTGGAGAGAGGGGGCTTCTTGCTCCTTTGTCTTCCTTAAAAGTCAGGGCCAGTCCCGGATAAAAGTTTCACATAGGAGAGGTTTGCATTGGCAGCCAGTACAGCCTCGTACTGTGTGCTGTCTACTACCTGTTGTGTCCCCTGAAAGCCACCTCATGTCACATGACATAAGCTGGAGCCGATCAAGATGCTGGTAGAGACAATCCTTGTTCTGCCAGGGCTGTGAAGCTGGAAAGCTGGGAAGCTGGGGCTGCTGGTGCCCATCTTCCCAGCTGTAGGGGGCAGCCAGTTGCAGGAAGAGAAAATGAGGAACAAAGAGGAGAAAGCAAAATCAACAGATGATGAGGGGGGAAAGAAGGAGAGAAAAAGTATGTGAGTGTGACATTGAGAAAATAGCCTAATACCATAGGGAGCCTGTACTTTGCCTTTGCACGAGACATTTTGAGATTCAAATGTCTCACTTTACATGTGTGACTTCCACCAGACAATTTTGGACAACAGGCCGAGAGCCATGCCACACACATCGAGGTTTCTTTTTGAACTAAGGCCCATGCCTTTTCCTGTGTCTTGGATGGCATTCCCTCTTGCATTCTCAGAACCATATACGGTCTCTCTCCTGGGGGTTGCTCACCTGTGCTAAACGAACCCTCTTTCTGGTGATTCCATCTTCCTCAGCTCTCGCTCTCCTTCCCATCCCAGCCAAACCTCTTGAGAGAGTGTCTATACTTATTCTCTCCACTGCTTTAGTTTCCACCCTAAACTACTCCAACAGGCTTCCACCCCCACCCCACTATTGAAACTGCCCGAAGATTACTAAGGACCTGTCCATTGCCAACTGCACCTGGCATTCATTCCTTAGTTCTTGCCTACTTAATCTCTCAGCATCATTTGACTTAGCTGATGATTCCTCTCTACTTGAAAACTTTTTGGTTGGTTTCCACAATACCTGGATTTTTCTCTTATCTCCCTGGCTGCTGCCTCCCAATCCCCTTGCCTGCTTCTCCTCCACCCATAAATGCTGAAGTTGCTGGAGGGCTCTCTCCTAGGTCTTCTTCTCAAGCTACACTCCCCTCCTATCTTTTCCCACAGCAGGGGCTCAGCCACTCTTCTAGCTTTGATTACTCTCTGTACACCAATGGCTACTAAATTTGTGTCTTTAGCTCAGATGGCCCCTCTGAGTGTCACAATCACATAGCCAATTGCCTATTTTAGATTTCCACTTATATGTGTTAAAGGTGTATCAAACTTGACAAGTTTTGAACTCGTCATCCACCTCCACAAATCTCCTTTTCCCATGGTTCTTAACTCCCTAATGGCTCCCCAATCCACACAGTTGCTCACCCAGATTCTGCCAGTCATCCTTGATCTTTCCTCTTCCTCATTCCCTCCAATCCATCACCAAGACCTGCCAATTCTGCCTCCTAAACACTGCTCAAATTAACCTCCTTATCTTCATCTCCATCAACCCCCAAGTCTCAGCCACCATCTTCTCTCCTCTGGACTTTGGCAACACCCTCTTAACTGGTCTCCCTACACTCATGTTGTTCCTCCCATCCATTCTCTGTATAGCTCCAGAGAGAGATTTTAAAACACAAATGTCATGGTGTCCTGGCTCTGCCTAACAACCTTTAGAAGCTTCCAGTAGCCCCTAGATAGTAACAAAAGACTTTCCCATGACCTACCAGTCTGGTCAGTGTGACCACCTTTTTAGGCTCATTTCAGTCACTCTCCCCTCCCCTACCTTGGCTCTAGCCACAGAGAGTCCTTTCTGTTCCCAGACAGGTCAAACCATCCCTTTTCTCAGGAACCCTGAATCAGCAGGTCCCTTTGCTGTTTGCTTCTTTGGGGGACGCTTCCCTGACCACCCATCCAGGTTGCATCATCCCCCAGCACCTTGGGCTTTTCCTTCACTGCACCCTCTGCATGTGTCACCTTCTATTTGTCACTTCTCCCTGTGGGGCTGTGAGCCCCAGGAGGGCAGGAACCCTGGCTGTCCTGCCCACTGCTCTGTCACCACTGCCCACCCTGGGGCCTGACCAGCACTGACTGATAGGGTGAAGATGGAGTGTCCAGTGTCCCTCACATTCCAATCACAGGGCAACTGTGTAGCCACCCACCATTTGGGGACTGTCTTCTTTTAGTGCCAAAGCCCAACAGCAGCAAATCCTATAGTGGTTCTTAAAGCCAGAGTTCAGCTCTTCGGAAGGGAGGGTGACAGAGTTGACCCAAACAGCCAATTTGACCTCTGCCCCTGGAGCACTAAGGCCAGGACGGAGCCCCTGGATGTTTGGGAGCGTGCTTTACAAGCCCTGCCTAAAGCTAGGGTGTCATTAGAGTGGGGAGCTGCATCCCTGTCGTGCTCTGGTCTCTAAGAAGTTTTGGAGTTTTTAAGACAGGCTCTTTCCCACGTGGCCCATTGTTCTTTCTTGCTTTCATTCTACCGTGTACAGTTGTTACTGCGGAGGCCTCCACTCACGTGAAATTGTTGAGAACTTAGTAAGAAAGCCCTGAACAGAGCCCTGGAGGAGGGGCCTAGAGAGATGAACCTGCTCCAAGGGAACCAGTACAGCAAGACAGAAGTAATTAAGTATCTTAAGAACGGCCTAGGCTTTATGGGAAGCAAATTGGTTGTGGCTGGCCCTCAGGGAGCAAGCTTTGCCACAGAACACAGTAGACTGCAAGGTCCTCTCAGGGCACAAAAACTGTAGGAGCCACGGGGTGGGGTGGGAGGCATCAGAAGGCTGCCCACTGTGACTCGCAAACAACAACCTGGAGTGTTCCTAGAAAAGGCGATTTCTTCCGCGTATGAGTGTCGGGGACAGTGTGTGTGTGCATATCTTCTGCCCTTGCCATGCAGGGCTGGGCGGACCAGGAACCACCCGCAGAGGAAGAGACTTATTACGTCTTGGCCATGTCTGTCCCCTGAAGAACCGACCTTTCCTGCTCTTTATGCAACAAGACACACCCCTCTGAGGAAGGAGGCGGACAGGATTTCCATCAGTACTAGTGTCCTATTATTAATAAAACCACACGCACACACACACACAACTGTGTGATTACCCTCGGCAGGAAAGGCGCACAAACAGGATGCGCTCCAACTGACCCCGGGATGAGCCATCCCTGTAAAGATTAGGAAAAAGAACCTCCCCACCGCGCGCCCGCCTCCGGCCAGGGCCTCGCCCAGACGTCCAGGCAGGGTCAGCAGCCCCCCGCGGAGGCTGGCAGAGAGGGTACAGGCGACTCTTAGCTGCACGGGTTCTTTGCTGCTCTTCCTCCTCAGCATCCTCCCCTCGTTCCAGCACCCCGCCCCAGCCCCCCAGGCCAATTTCCCAAGCCGCAGGTGTTTGCTGGGGCTGGGCCACGAACCCTTCCCCTTCTCGACAGCGCCTGAGGTAGCGCTCGGCCAGCCCCCCGGGCCGGGCGGTGCAGGCGGGAGGGGCGCGGGCACCCACCCCCGCAGGGCCGCGCGCCACGCCCCCGGGGTCCGGAAGGCGCGGGGGCCGGCGCGGGGCTCTGAGAACTTGGAGCCTGGCGGCGCGAGGTTCTCGCCGGGGATGCGGCGGCAGCTGCTTCCTGGTTCGAAGCTCGCCGAGGGGCGGAGAGCGTGAGCCCGCGGAGGCGGGGGCAGGAGGAGAGGCGGGAGGAGGCGGGGGAAGAGACGCTCGGGGCTGGAGCTAGCCGGACGGGTCGCTCCGGCTCTCGGGGAGAGGAGCTACCTGGCCCTGGAGAAGGGGCGAGACCCGCGCGAGCCCCCGGGAGGCGCCGCGCGCCCCAAAGGGACCACCCGGCTTCACCGGCCCGCAGAGGGCTCGGCGCCGGGCTCCCCTCCTTTCCACCTCGGGAGGAAGGGAAGGAGGGGAGGGGAAGGTCCCACAGAGGAGGCAGAATGGCCGGTCGAGGGGGGCTCGGGCGCTGCTTTTCCCCAGAGCTGCCTCGACTCCTCCCGCTGCCGCGAGGGCTGGCCTGAGCCGGGACTCCCCGCTCTCCCGCGGCGAGGCAGCGCGGCCCCCCGGGGCCGGGGCAGCGGCGCCGGCATGTCGTCCGGCACTATGAAGTTCAATGGCTATTTGAGGGTCCGCATCGGCGAGGCCGTGGGGCTGCAGCCCACGCGCTGGTCCCTGCGCCACTCGCTCTTCAAGAAGGGCCACCAGCTGCTGGACCCCTACCTGACGGTGAGCGTGGACCAGGTGCGCGTGGGCCAGACTAGCACCAAGCAGAAGACCAACAAACCCACGTACAATGAGGAGTTCTGCGCTAACGTCACCGACGGCGGCCACCTCGAGCTGGCCGTTTTCCACGAGACGCCCCTGGGCTACGACCACTTCGTGGCGAACTGCACCCTGCAATTCCAGGAGCTGCTGCGCACAGCCGGCGCCTCGGACACCTTCGAGGGCTGGGTGAGTAGCAGTGATCCCTCCCCTTTGTGTCCACTTAACCCCTTCTCCCCTTCGAGTTTTCAAAACTCGCCCTGGTCCCGCTTCCCCATCGCTCGTGGCTGAGGGAATTCCCTCCAGACTTTGGTCCTTGCCCAGGTGACCGCGGTGGGTGTGTGCTGGCGCAGGTGTGTCTCCAGGAAGCTGGCCTGGACACGATCCCCTTTCGGGACGGCGGGCGGCTCGGGCTAACGGGCAGGCGGGCAGGGGTCCAGGGCCGTCTCCCCACTCCGCCAAGACTTTGCATAAGGCACCCCAAGTCTCAGCACGCGCGTAATGCTCAGGAAAGGCAAGGAAGGGGTGATGTGAAAGTGACTTTATTTGAGTAAAGTGCTTCAAGCGCTGCTTAGGAGAAAGCCGTACATTCTCGCGAGTATTATTCATAATATTTATGGATACGTGTTGGTTCAGCCTTTCAGACGTGCACACGTGTTTCGGCTTGCACATCCATTACATCCCAGAGGTACCTGAGCTACATTGGCAGGGCTTACAGTGCCTGGGTCTGCATGTTGGCAAAGTTGTATTATTTAGCAGTTTTCCAAGGAGATGAAATTTGCATATGTTTGCAAGTAGCCAGTCAATCTGAGATGTGTGAGTCCTGCAGTAGACGTTTCTGTTGCTATTAATCTGCGAAGAGGCTGCGAGGAGACCTCCTCAGTAGACTGTTTACTGCCCTCCCTCCCCCCAGCACCTGCTGGTGTTCCTGTGTATTGGCGTGTAGCTACCCTTCTCACTTGCTTCTGCTTCTCACATAGTTCCCATGAGGCAGAATTTCTGCTGTAAATAAATTAAAATTTGTAGAGCACTCCACACAGTGCCAAAATGCTTTTGCTGCTGAATCCTCACACTGTCTTTCTGATGCAGGTGTTGTTCCCACTTCGAGACGATGATAATTATAATAGAGTGGTCTGGTTTGACAAAATGGAGTACCCTGGTTGAAGACTCTCAGGAGTTTAAGGGCTTAAAGTCTAGAGGGAGTCAGGTTTGAACCCAGAATGTGAATGGACATTGAAAATCTATTTGAAATTTACAAGTGGTGGTGAATCATATGTATAACAATGAAGACTCGTCAGGTATTATTTTATATTTGGGAAATTGGTAATTTTTACCACATATTCTCTAAAATTACAGATGGCTTGTGGATGTATCCCTTTCTTTTAAATAGAAGTAAAAACCATGACTGTTTAACCTTAATCATCAAATTATATTGAATTAATTTCCCTTCCAAAGCCTAACTTACTTTGTGGAACTTAGAAGTGGATTAGAGAGGAATGACTAAAATACAGTTAGAGATTTACATTTATCCTGTGAATTTCTGATATGAAATAGAAATGAATGTAGGAATCTGAGTGGAATTATTGAATTCGTCAGTGTCTGATTAGGAATTAGGTTGGGCAAAGGTCTAAAGGAACTGGGTTCCAAAGTACGGTGCAGCAGATTGGCAGTGATTATGAGAAGTATCTCTTCCTGCAGAAAGCCTACCTTGGTCCTTCTCACTCCTACTCTGCACATTTGAATTACCTGAAGAGCTTTTAATAATCCCCACTTTTGAAGACTCTAGATAGGAATCCCTGGCTGTGGGACCCCATCATCAGTACTTTGTGGCTACCCAGCTGATTCCAATGTACGGTCAAGCTTAAGAACCTGTGGCCTAAATGAAGACCAAGAGATGAGGACTACTTGGCATCCAAGAAGCATTAAGTGTAGGAAGATCCAGGTTACCTAAGTGAAGTGTAACAGAGCTGCTTATTCCACTGGATGAATAAGTGTAAATTAAATCCCTGTATTTGTTTATTTATAATTATCTGACATAATTATACTTAAATGTTTAATGTAACTCACTGATGGTATTTTGGAAAGCATGAGTTTTTGGTAGGATAAGGTGAGCATTTAAATGACCTTGAAACCAATGATTTGTCATGCATTTATATTCAGTTAGAAGGCAGAGGTTTTTTTGTTTGTTTTGTTTTGTTTTAAGGTTCTGGGTATTTTGAAACTGTGAGGATAGAGTAGATAGAATTGGCAGAGTGTTTCTTTTCTTTTTTCCTTTCTATTAAGAAAATCTTGTTGAGAAAATATTAGGAAATATATGGAATGCTTATATTAAATTATCCTTTACAGATCCAAAGGTGCTTTTGAAGTTCAGGATTACAGAAATACTTATTTACCTTTGGTATATTAAATTGAAATGTGTATTGAGACAGTTACAAGTAGAGTAATTGAATTTACTCCACAATAAATTTATGTATGTTGCAAGTGGAACTACAGATTGCTGACTTTTAGAAAACCTAGCAAATTAGTTTTTGTTAGATCATGTGAAGAAAATCTAGGTTTATCTGTAAAACAGAAGATACCAAAATAGAAGATACTTTTATCTTAAGAATAAAACAGAAAGTTTTATGGAAAAGCCTACAGTTACCATCCTAGTGGTGAAGGAATGAATAATATTCCTCTAAGAGACAAAACAAGGGAAGGATGTCTGCTCTTTCTGTTTCAATTCAACACTGAATTGGAGGTCCTGGTCAGTGCAATAAAGCAATTTCAAGAAATAAAATGCATACAGGTTACAAAGGAAGAAGTAAAATTGTCTTTATTTGCAAACAAATGATTCTAGAAAATTCTAAGATGTTTACGAAAAGGCTTTTAGAACCAACAAGTGAGTTTAGCTAGGTTGCAGAATCCAAATGAATATATAAAAATCAATTACGTTTTTATATACTAGCAGTGAACAATTGAAAACTGAAATATTTGAAAATATTTATAAGAGCATCAAAAATATGAAATTGGATAAATTTGATAAAAGATGCCCAATACATTTTCACTGGAAATGACAAAACATTGCTGAGATAAATTAAAGATCTAATGGAGAGAGATTCTATTTCATGGCTGGGAAGATTCAATGATTCAATTCAACATTAAGAGTATTCAATAGATTTAATGCAGTTCCAATGAAAATCTCAGTAGACTTTATTGTAGAAATTGACAAACTGAGTATAAATTTTGTATGGAAATGTAAAGGACGTAGACTGATAGAATAATTTTGTAAAAGAACAAGTTGTGGGACTTATACTATTTGATTTCAAGGCTAACTGTAACACTACCATAATCAAGATAATGTGGTATTGGAGTAAAGAGAGTCATATAGATCAGTGGAATAGCAGAGAGTCTAGAAGTAGGTCCACATATATATGACCAATTGATTTTCACAAAGGTGCCAAGAAAGCAATTCAGTGGGGGAGATGATAATCTTTTCAGCAAGGTGCTTGAACAACTGGATAGCCATTTGCAGAAATAAGCCTTGACCTTTATCTTATACCATACAAAAAAAACTAATTCAAAATGAATTATAGACCTAAATGTAAAAGTTTAACTGTGAAAGTTCTATAAGAAAACATAGAAGAAAATCTTAGTGACTTTGAGTTCAGCAAAATTTTTTAGATAGGACACAAAAAGCCCCAACTATAAAGATTAATAAATTGGACTTTATGAACTAAAAACTTCCTTTTGTTTCTCACAGAATGTTTAAGAAATACTTGCAACATGCAAATCAGTCAATGAACTTGTAACACGAATACATAAAAGAACTCTTATAACCCAATAATAATGAGAAAAATACCTGATTTAAAGATCAGTCAGGGTGGGCACGGTGGCTCATGCCAGTAATCCTAGCACTCTGGGAGGCAGAGGCAGGAGGATTGCTTGAGCTCAGGAGTTGGAGACCAGCCTGAGCAAGAGCGATACCCTGTCTCTACTAAAAATAGAAAGAAATTAGCTGGACAACTAAAAATAGAAAAAATTAGCCTGGCATGGTGGCATGTACCTGTAGTCCCAGTTATCTGGGAGGCTGAGGCAAGAGGATTGCTTGAGCCCAGGAGATTGAGGTTGCTGTGAGCTAGGCTGATGTCAGGGCACTCTAGCCCGGGCAACAGAGCTAGACTCTTGTCCCCCCCCAAAAAAAAATATCGGTCAAATATTTGAATAGGTGCCTTGATGGCATATAGCACATTAAAAGATGCTCAAAATCATTAGTAATTAAGGAAATGTAAATTAAAATGAGATAGCAATATGCTCCCACTGGAAAGGCTAAAATTAATAAGACTGACCATACCAAGTGTTGGGAAGTAAGTAGAGCAACTGGAACTCTCATACCCTACTACTGTTAGGTATATAAATGGTAGAGTCATGTCGGAAAACAGTTTGGCAGTTTCTTAAAATATTAAACACATAGCTACCATATGACCTATATACTCTTTAAGTATTTGCCAAGAGAAATGAAACCATACATACAAAGGCTTATCCAGAATGTTCATAGCAGCTTTATTTGCAGTAGCTCCCAAACTAGAAACAACTCAACGTCAGTCAACAGAAGAATGTTTGAATAAATTGTGACTTAACCATACAAAGGACTACTACTCAACAATATAAAGAGATGAACTATTAATACATGCAACAACATAGATGAAACTCAAAATAATTCTCTTGAGTAAAAGAAGCCAGACAAGAAAAGAGTCCATACTGTTTGATTCCATTTATGCAAACTTCTGGGAATGAAAACTAGTCTATAGTGACACGAAGCAGGTCAGTGGTTGCTTGGATATAGGGAGTGGAGGTGAGGGAGGGTTGGATTACCAAGGAGGCACAAGAAAACTTTTGGGGAAGATGAATATATTCATAATTTTCATTGTGATGATAGTTTCACAGTCATATATATATAATACATATGTCAAAGCTTATCAAATAGTTCACTTTAAGTATGTGCATATTATTGTATGGCAATTATACCTATAAAACTGTAGAAAAAAATCAATAAGGATTTATCATCCTTATTTGAAGATGTTAAATGCTAGTAAATGCTGTCATTTACTAAAGATGCTAGTAAATGACAGAATTAGATTTGAGCCAATCCGACTCTTGAAAAAAACACAAAATCACAATAAAACAAATTAGTTTCAGATTTTTGGACA